CACTAAGCTGCTATTTTACTTTGGTATTCTGTGAGAGCGTAGTCCTTCCCCGGTCGAGCTGACGCATTCGTGCTTCAACCACAATTTAGCTGTAGCATAGCTCTATCACGTAAGGCCAGTGTGGCTGACATTATTGTTATAAATGAACCAATGTATGATATCGGCATAATGCTCAGTTTCGTATACCGTTTACCGTTACAGCCTATTAAAGTCCAACGCCTCCCCGAACATAGGCATCTCCATTGACTCGAGGGGGGGGGGAAGCGATAGACAACAGAGTTTCGTATGCGAGTGACGAAAACCGATGAAAAAAGAAGGGTCTCTCTTCTTGCAATCCGTTTTAGTCATCATAATTGGGATTCCATCTCCTCACAGTCACGGACGTAACATTCGTGTTCTCAGTCTACCCTCGCTGCACTACTAAGAGAACGGCGTGACTTCAAACGTCAGAAATTTTAATACTAAAACGCGATAAATTTCATCATATTAGTTTAATTCGATGCAGGGTGTTCATGTAAGAGATAGATTTCCTTGTTTATGTAAGGTACCTTCTTCATTAAACTATCGTTATCTCTGCATCATCTGAATGTAAAGTAAATAAGATTTTTCGTATGAAGTTCAAATAAATAAATGACTAAATATTAACTAAATACTAAATATTAGCAACGCGGACGAAGTCGAAGTTATCAGCTAGTATTTCCTAAAATAATACCACATACTAAAAAGTTCAATATACGTACACAATCAAAGAAATTATATTTATTACTTAAAATTGGGATTTACAGAACTTTATAAACACCCGCTGTATTTTAGCAGTCAGCAAGCAACCAGAGTTAGATTCCCGCCAACACCAAAGAAATAGGTAATTGCAATTTTAAGTACTGAATTAACACGTGCTCGGCGGTGAATGACAACATCGTGAGGAAACCTGTACGTCTGAGAAATAAAATACTGCCGTTTCGAGGACATGTGAAGTCCGGCAAAATAAAATGTAGCAGCGCGGCGGAATCATATCTCAGTAGTGGGACGTATAGATGCCGCATATTTAAGTTACCTTTCAATGAAGTCAACTTCTAAGTAAAAAAAGGAAGTCAAGGAATTTATGCCATCGCCTCAAAGCTATTTTATCCCCAGGATTCTTATGAAAACCTTCCGCTGTGTGGCGACAGAATCGCATTAAGTTCTTAGGCTGCGTTTCCGCCAGAGATGTGCGAGGTGGCTGGGCGGTGTGAGGAATGAGGATGCGTAACGAGGCTGTGGAACGGTGTGAGCGTTTCCACCAGGGATGTGCTAGGCCGCTGAGCGGTGCGAGGATGTGTAGCGAGCTCGTTACAGATGCGAGCGGGGTGAGGTGTGGTGGGAGCGGAGCGCGCGCGCCACTGCCCACTGCTTCTTGCGTCCTTCCCTAGCACACATCCCTCGCAACACATCCCTTGCACACATCCTTCTCTTGTTTTGCATATTCTAAAACCTCGCTTTGCTGAGCCGTTTCCACCAGAGCTGCGCTAAGCGAGGCTACGTAAATGAAGTGATTCTATTGGTTCTTAACAAACACATCCCTCGCTATGCATCCTCGTACATCTTCTGTGGAAACGCAGCCGCCTTACTGCGGGAGATTATTATACAAGGAGTGATGGATAGTTATTAGTATCAATATATTAACTTATGCACGTTTTAAGTACAAACAGAACTGGCAGAAACTTTACCTACTCAACCTACCAGTGTCGAATGCAGAGAAAAAGCAATGGTACACCCAGATGCAGCGGCAAACAAATCAACTCCAAATTAGATATTCGAACCCAGGACTCGCGACTTAGTAACCCGACTGATCCATAAACGCTGTAATTAAGGCAACAACGGATCTAGACAAACAACCAGTAATCAATAGCCTGCGGACTTCCAACACAACGTAATTTGGACTAACCTTCCTTCAATTTAATATTATGTAACTATCAACAGGCCGGAAACAATTCGATCTAAAAACTTTGCAATCTCATGAATGACACACAATTGTTTAGTAATAGAGGAAAATTGCAAACATCGAATTATTTCATTTATTAATTTAAGCGCATTTTGCTTAGGGTTTGGAAGGAACTTACTGATGATTTGTAGTACGGGTAGAACAAGCGCGTACAGGAAAGGTAAAATCGATATTTTTTATTTAATGGATGATTGAAGAACACATGATAATGGAAACGGATACTGTGACCCATATATTCTCGATTAAGAATTAAAATGCAGACAAGTTGTCAACACTGAAAACTAAGATGGAATGCCTCGATACCATTGAAAGGGACTCACTATACAAAACGCAGCTGCATTAGTAGACAAGATTAAGTTTGGCCTGAAATTCTAGCAAATAAACCAAAATGGTGACAGAAGAAGGAATCTTGCCGCTTTCGTATCGGTATGCACACCCTCGAAAAGCTTAAATAGCGTAATCGAAGCCATCAGTCTGGTGACGTAAGAGAAGACTACTGGGAAGCTGAAGGGAAATGCCATAAGATGCCTCGCGTAGAGGCGAAACACGTGTCGTATTGCCGTCAGTAATCTTTCCTAGTGTAGTGGTATTGGGAGTAGTGGTGCTGGGATTAGCGGAGACGGGGATAGTGCAGGCAATTGAGGGAGGGCGGGAGGTGCTCTTCAAACTAGGTACACATCATTTTATTTTATCGAGAGGATGTAGCTACGCAAAGTAATTTTTACCAACTTTTATATAATAGATTTCCGCAAAGAAACGCCTGATTCTATTAATTGCCAGATAAATTGTCTATAATCTATATCATCATCATTGTTACCATTATAGCCCTTTTCAATTCCACAGATCAACATAGGCCTGCCCCAAGAAATGCCACAAAACACCGTCCTGTGCCACATGTGTTATCTTTATCGTCATCATCATTACAACCTTTCACTAGTCCAATGTTAAACTTAAACCTCCCCCAAAGAATGTCACAAAACAAGTTCCTGAACCACCCTTATAATATTGTCTTATTACTTCAGATTAATTACAACAAATGAGTCATTTGAAGCTTGTTTATTGAGATTGAGACAGATTTAGACTAAACAAAGAACCTAAGCATGAGATCAACCAGCCACAAAAGCCACTTCGCACTAGTTCTTTTTACGTATAGAAACAGTACACCCAACGAATTTGTTCCAATTTAAAAACCAGTGTAATAAGAGCCTGTACATTATTACATTTTAAATCTTAAAGGTGACAATGCACTAATAATCTTTGTCAAGATTTTTTACGTGGTAGAGCCATGCTGCAGCTATATTAGTAGTATAGTTGTAGCACGAATGGGTCGGTTAGGCCGGGGAAGGACCACGCTCTCACAGAATACCAGCGTAACACTGCTGTGTTTGATATGGTGAGTGTAGAGAACCGGAGACCTTTTTCACTCGAAAAGAGGCATCTTCGTCCTCACGAGTGACAACGCATCTGTATTTTGATCCTTTATTGAGGATAAATGTATATATCTATGGATCACTTACCATCTGCAAGCACTTACCATCGGGTGGACTGTGTGCTCGTTTGTAACGCTATTCTGTAAAAAAAGGTCTGGTTGTACCCCAGACGTGACAACGTAGTTATCTTTTTGTTGGTTGCGGTGCACGGGCTGTAGCAGTGCTTACCATTAAGAGTATTACTAGCTCGTTTATTATTTTCATATAAAAAATATGAATGCAATAATTTTAACCTCGTTTGCCATTTTCATGTAAAACGAAGTCTATTGTATAGGTACATTACACAAATACTTATATTCATTTCAGAAACCTTTCGCGAATGGCAACTGGTATGTAGATAACAAGTTTTATTTGCTATTTTTACGAATTCCCACATACTTATTGGAGTTATCTACTCAATACACGTTGATAATATATGCTGAATTACGTGTTTAGCGTCAAAACAAAGTAATTGTGTACGTTGTGTCATTTCGCAACACACTTTGCAAAGTAATAAAATTAATTAATTTAGCCATGCTACAGCTATATTAGTAGTATATTTGTAGCAAGAATGGATCGGCTCAACCGGGGAAGGACCACGCTCTCACAGAATACCAGCGTAAAATAGCAGCTTAACACTGCTTTGTTTCGTATGGTGAGTGTAGGATAACCGGAGGCCCTTTTTACTGGAAATGAGACATTCAATCTTAGTCCTCACGGGTGACAATGCATCTGCGCATTTTGATTCGCAAACGAGGATAGATGTAGATGGCTATCGGCCACAGCAACCACTTACCATCAGGTGGACTGTGTGCTCGTTTGTCATCCTATCCTATAAAAAAACTAAAGTTATTGGATTCCAAACATTCTGTTGTGTAGTGGCGGCAAAAGATCATTCAATCACACCTTTTCGTCCCGAGGGTGTCGTAAGAGGCAACAATAACACTAATATCTTATGGCTGCCGATAGATGCCGGTACACCATCACGTTTACGTCAGAAAATTTCCAAAGCGCGACGGGCAGCAGGCAGGGTCAAAGGTACGAAGAGTCTAGTAGTGCGATTATCAATTCGTTTGCCAAACATGGCAATTAAGGAAAATTCTTTTTAAAACTAAAGAGGCCCATGTTCAGCAGTTGTCTTTCACATACTGATGATAGTTAGAATATTTATGTTAAGTGCAATTATCAATAACAATAACAGCAATAACGGCTGTGTACACACGAGTCATCCGTAATCAAAAAATAATGTTAAATTAATACAAATTAACAACTGTGAACTTCATTAATCATTAGGACAAATAAACAAACCACTGCCAAGAATATTGATGTAACAAACACAACTATCGTTTACCCAATAATTACTCACTCGATATAAACGTCACACAACTCTTAAAGTATATTTATTCCTTTTAGCACAATTTACAGTAGTTTGTACTAAACCACAGTTACGTATCTAAAACACATAAAACACAGTCACACAGCGGAGATAGAGTATACGTCCGCTCGCGTCTACGATAGAAGCGCGAATGAAGAGAAAAATAAACACTGACCTGATCTTTTCCTGAGGCTGTCGGCGCTGCGCTTGCGCAGGCCTGCACTCCCCCACCGCAGCGCCTGCGAAACAATGTTACATAAAGTCACCACGATTTTGTCATCACACAGACATTGCATTCGGATTATAGACCGATTGCATTCGATGAAGAAATATATATAGTAATTTTAAGCCCGTTAAAGCTTAAATGAGAGTGTGACAACGTCCGTCCTTGTCTAATACAAGGAAGGACGTTGTCACACTCTCATTTTCTCATTCTCTCATTTTACACTTAGGAGAGCGTTTTTACTTTCAACAATTTTAATCAAAAACGAGTTTATTGTTCAGCAGCTTAATACCTGTTGTAGTATTTAGGTTCAAGGCGACTGCCTTTATAGATTGATAGATCTTGGGCAGAGGCATAGCGTGGACTAATATAGACGTGGGCGAAGTCGCATCAGCGAGCCACTTTTCTTTCGTTCCCAAGATCTACCCAATAGATCTATCCTACAAAACATGATTTTAATAACTGACAAGTCTCGTATTCCGTCAATCTAGCGGTCGCAGTCTTTGACGGTAATTACAACGGCCTCGCAGTCGCACTTAAGAGGGCTTCTTGCGAGGCCCCAAACAATCACGCTTTTAAATTTGTGAAAATCGTAAGTGATCACATTAATTAGTTAGTAGTTAGTAGTTCAACATGTTTTTTGTGATTAGTTTGTGACTCAATTAAATTATTAATCAGCCCCCCCCCCCCCATAAAATACATGGAAAAAAGAGCCGATGTAACGTTTAGAGCTCATTGACTAGAAAGTTATGTACCCTTAGCTTGTAGATGTTACAGTTAAGCTTTTAAATAAAATAAAGTTAATTAGTTACGAATTGAAAATTTATTTATATTATGTACCATATTATACACTTTATTTAAACAAACGAGGCATTCCATCTTAATCCTCAAGGGTAACAACGCATCTGCATTTTGATTTCTAATAAAGGATAAATGTATATGTCCATAGGCCACAGCATTCACTTACCATATCATGTGAACTGTGCGCTCTTTTGTCATTCTTATTATTTAAAAAAAAAACTAGCTAAGCATTCTATACAAGAGTGTGGCGGCGGTGTAGGAGAATCTAATGCAATTTCGTCCCGTATGTTTCGTAAGAGGCGGTTATGATATGTGCCAGAAAGATCGAATGGCTTCCAATACAACCATCCCGTTTACGCCAGACGTAGTAAATACCCCAGACCAGTGGCGGTAAACAGCGTCAAAGGTGACGAGAAAGGCAAATACTTCCTGCAACGGGAGAGGCTCATGTCCAATAGTGGACTGTTAATAATATATATATATATATAATAGGCTGATGAAGAAGTTTTATATTTAGTTTATGATTTCCCTTCACCAAACCCTACTGTTCGTACGAATCGCTGAAATGTGTGAAATTAAAGCGCTGCATCAAGAGCCGGCTGCAACCAAATATCAACAGGACAGGATCTTCGCGAAAATATCTACATATAAAAACTTGAAGTAACAACATTCAAGACACGTTAAATAACCGAGCTATGTATGAGGCTTTGTACGTATAAATTCAAAATTCAAGCATTGCGACAAAAAAAACTATTCTGAATACATTGTGGGTGTTTTAATGATAAGTACTATCTTGTAACCTATATTTGTTTTATGAACCAAGACTGAATACACCAGCTTATGTATTCATACAAACAAAATTGAAATTTCTGACCGAAAAATTATTGAAACAATTGCCTTTTTTTAATTGAGCTGAGGACGTTATTTGCATGTCATTAACACATGAATTACCATTTTTTATTTATCTGTCTCTCCGTAAGTCTGCCCGGTCTAACCTTCGGAATAACTGAACCGATTGTAATAAAACTTGGCTATTGTTATTGCTGCTGCAACAACTGCTGAAGACTACACCAAACACTTACCTATGCTATTCTTTGTTTGAAATTGATTACAGGTATGCATGGGATTTTTACATCGTATAGAGGAAGGAGATGTCTGTGTTTGCACTGATTTTTTTTATATGATAAAGGTGACAAACGAGCACACAGTCTACCTGATGGTAAGTAGTTGCTGTGGCAAATAGAGATCTATATCTATCCTCAAATACGAATTAAAATGCAGATGCGATGTCACTCGTAAGGACTAAGATAGAATGCCTCATTTCCAGTAAAAGGGGTCTGCGGTTCTCTACACTCACCATACGAAACACAGCAGTGTTAAGCTGCTATTTTACGCTGGTACTCTGTGAGAGCGTAGTCCTGACCGGTGTAGCCGGCCCATTCGTGCTACAACTATACTACTGATATAGCTGCAGCATGGTTCTACCACGTATAAACTATTACTAAACTACTGACAGCACTATTATGTACTATCTATCGCTTGTGTGAAAATATCATGGACGACATCGGCTCGAGGAACATTTTCAAAGGCTTCTTTTTTAACTAAACTTATGCTTTACTACTATCCCACCTGATGGTAAGTGGTGACGTTGCCAAAGATGTAAAGCGCACTGACCTAGCTTAACAAACGTTTATTTACCCTTGTCTTTAAACTTTGCCTACAACAGCTAAACCATTTACATTAAAAGTGACAAAACGATAATAAGCGGGACAGTCCACGATTTATAGAAACGGATTGCCATTCTCGTATTACATGATATTGTGAGCGTCGCTCCCATGCCCGGTACACGATCTGAAATCACGTTTTTGTGTTTTGATATTTTGATTTAACATAAGATCTATTACCTCATTTGAACATTTGTTATTTTATAATTTGCAGCGCTGTTAGGTTAACTACTTATATTCGTCAGCGCTTGTTCTTGTTTACTATTTTTTTTTATTTTTATGTGGTATTAAAAATAATAAATATATAATAAATAGCCGTGGTAGCTCAGATGGTTAGCACTCGCTGTAAGTTTCACAGTATGCGAGCAACCCGGAATCGATCCCCGCCGGCACCAATGAAATTGTTAATTGCAATTTTAAGTGCTGATTTACCACGTGCTCGACGGGGAAAGAAAACATCGTGAGGAAACCAGCATTTCTGAGAAATAAGAAAAGAAATTATTAGGAAGACATGTGAAGTTCGCCAACACGCATTGGGGCAGCGCGGCGAACAATTTCTTAACCTAAAATCCTCTCAAAAATGAGAGGCCTGTTCACAGCGATGGGACGTATATAAGCTGTAAATTTAACTAACTAACGTGGTAGAGCCTGGTGCATCTATATTACGGCTGCAGCATCAGCTCGATCGATCGGCTCGAACGGAGTAAGACCAGACTCTTACAAAATACCAGTGTAAAACAGCAGAATAATGCCGTTTATTCATGAGAACCGGACACCCTTTTAAAAACAACGAGGCATTCCATCTTAGTTCTCACGAGTGACCACGCATCTGCATTTTGATTCTTAATCGAGGATAAATGTATTATTGAGCATACTAGCTTACTTATGTGTTCTCCAAATGATTAATAATGAAATATGTGTTGTGTTTAAATTTATTTTATATAAGAAGGAGCAAAGGAGCATGCGCGGCTCATCTAGAAACTCATGAAATCGTTTGCCACTGGTGATTTTTACGAACCGATAAGACTTAGGGACCTTCAAGAAACGAGGTTACTCCTTTTTAAAAGGCCGGCAACGCACCTACAATTCCCCTGGCGGTCGACACTTACCATCAGGTAAGCCGCATGCACGTTTGCCCCCTCTCCTATAAAAAAAACCTGTCGGTGACTACAGTCATCCATCAACAACTGCAACACCACCGAAATTGCAGGTTCGTTTGCCGGTAAATAAATACTTATTCTTTTATGTACAGCTGATTTTGCCGCGATACTGTAGTTACGTATTCCATATTTTTGTTACACTCACTTTGAGGTACTACTTACATAATATTTTCACGATTAGTACAGTGGCGTCGTGAGAACCTGTTAGATTAGACTCAATACAACGGGAAGTGAGCCGTGGTAGCTCAGATGGTCAGCGCTCACTGTAAATTTCACAGTGCGCGAGCAACCCGAGTTCGATCCCCGCCAGCACCAAAGAAATTGTTAATAGCAATTTTAAGTGCTGATTTACCACGTGCTCAGCGGTGAAGGAAAACATCGTGAGGAAACCAGCATTTCTGAGAAATAAGAAAAAATATTTCGAAGACATGTGAAGTTCGCCAACACGCATTGGGGCAGCGCAGGTGGACATTTCCTTGCCCTAAAACTCTCTCAGATATGAGATGAGGCCTGTGCCCAGCAGTGGAACGTATATAGACTGTAACTTTACTTTAACTTAATGGGAACTTGCGACTTTAGTGAATATAATAAAAACTCGTTTTTTTTTTCTAAATATTTATCCGTGGCACGTAGCATTCAAGCGACAGGTCACTGATACGGGTGGCCGTTTAAACGATAAGCATAACATAATTAAGAACGTGCTTAATACGTTTTACCTTAAAAAAAAAAACAATTTTCCATATTTAAATTTATAAGTTTCAAGCCACCCCGTTGGTCCACGACACACGCATCCTAACATATCATAATTTAAAAGTCTTTTTAAAAATTTTAAACAAGAACTACTCTTTATTAAGCGTACTTAAAAAATAACGCTTGAGAAATAACGTTTAATAACAGCTGAGTAATATAACGCCTAAAAAAGTCGTCAGTTTTTGACAGTAGCATTTTAAAATTTTAGTAAGTTCTTTTTTTAATCGCAGATGGACTTCTTTTTAAGATGTATGCTTGTTGTAATAGCAAGGCAAACAAAAATCAAAACATATTAAATATCTATAGGAAAGATAAATCTTGAATTACAATACGGAAACTGTCTAGCCCTTTGATAATTGTCGATATCTTTCACAGAATGCTGTAGAAAGTATTACAACTTCTTTGATGGTATTACTTTGTGAGAGGTATGAATGTTGTGATACTACAGGCAAGCAAAATAAAGGTATAATAAAAGATCTAGAGACAAGAAAAATCTTGAATTAATGTGTGGAAACTATTCAGCCCTAAAATACTTGTTGATATCTTTCACAGAAGATTACAACAGAAAATTTACTTTTCGG